TCCTCTCCTGACAAGGTTGGGCATTGAGTATCATGAGGACAATTGTTTTGTTTATTTAATTCTGATATTAAAGTATTAATAAAAAACAAGAAGAAATAAGGGATCGGAGAAGGAAGGAAGAGTAGTGAAGCAGTTATAAAAAAATACAGAGTGATTATGACCAAGTGAAAAAAAAATAGAGTAATATGTATGTCGGTGTGGCTAGGGATCCTCTCCCATAGACAACGTGATTTATGGCTAGGTCAGTGGTTTACAGGCAGAGGAGCAGCCTTGTGTTACCATCTGCTCTCACCTTAATAATGAGAAACTGAACTTCAGAAGACTTAATTAGTTCTGCCAAGCCATGAATGGTGGAACCAGAACTCAAGGCCAGATTTCAAAACCAAACGTGTTTCTGTGACTCCACAGCAGCACCCTCTTAGAGAAAATACTGAAAAACAAAAACAAAAACCAGAGACCATGCGTTCCTTGTGACTGGGACTCAAAAGTCCTAACGTTACTGTTTCAGGAGGGCACTGGCAGTTTAGCAAGGGGTCTAACTTCATTAGGCTGTGTCTATGTTTTCAAATAGTTTAGAGAATGTAAAACAAGTCAAAAAAAATGGAACTAAACCTCAGTTTGAAACATAAGCAAAAATGGATAATAATAATAATAATCTCCTGTGTCCTCCATTCCCATGAGGAAGAACCCATCCTGTTATTTGGGGTTGAAGAAAGCCACTTCGCTGTCAGACTCTGTTGCCTCATACTAGGATTTTAAAACATTTAAAACTCTTGGGAGAGAGAAATGGCTCCGTGGTAAGAGCAATGGTGGCAGCCTGGTCACCCAAGTTTGGATCCACAGAACACACATATGAAGCCAGGAGTGGTAGTGTATATCTACAATCCAGGCCCTCTCCTGTGGTATGATGGTGCAGACAGGGACAGGAGCCTCTGCTGGACGCTCACAGGCCAGATACTTTGGAGTTTTCGGTGCAGAATCACAAACAAAAGAAATCCTGTCTCAAAATAGTTGGAAGGCCCAAAATGAGCTATTAAATATTGTCCTCTGACCTTGACATGTGTGCCATAGCATGCACTTGTGGCATTGATGTACACACACACACACACACACACACACACACACACACACACACACACACATACACACACACATACACAAATGCAAAAATGATGTTTTGATTTTAATTTAAAAAATGAATTCTTCACTGATGTTTTCAGCATTATTTTTGTTGCCACAGTTACATGACGTGGAATCTTGAAGTCTGAACGACAAACAACAACTCAAATACAGCCTCGTTTGGTTTATCATAAAAACCAGTAACCACTGGACCAGACTCAATGACACTTGTAGAGAAGACATTAGTCTGAAGTAAGGGGAGTTGGGTTCCCCACATATTTCTACATTAACTGTCACAGCCAAGTAATTTAATACCATGGGCCTTGGTTTCCCCCTATGTATCCTGCATGACTACAGACTGATCGGTCTGCAGTTCTGCCCTAAGACTTTCTAATTGCTTCTCATGCACGTAAGAATGATTTAACATCTTATTTTTTTAATCAACGTGCAGAAACAGCTTCCCTGTTAACTTTTTTCTCAAGAAAATCATAGCCCTAAATGTCCACTGATGACCGCGATGTTTCTAACCTTCTGATTTTCAAGTGTTTTTAATGTTCTGACTGGTGAACAGAACACTATAGCTCATCTCTTTTTCTGTGGGTCTAGTCCACAGAGCTACAGATGAGGAAGACCACATGCTATGTGTACTTTGGCAGGCAAACTGTGTGGCCTTCTGACAACCAGAGCTGTTGTCCCAAGGATTCTTAGAAATGAGCAAAGGCTGCTGACTCCAGGACAGCCAGTCCTTTCTTTTTCTCCCCAGGGAGAGAGTCTTGAGATGTACTATAATTCCTTTCTAATCAGCTGGCCCCAGCATCTCAGCCTCCTCTCCCTTTGCCTTCCAATATTTTTCTGCCCACAGAAGCTATCTTCTAGGCATCTGGCTGTTTTTTAAAAATTACATCTTTCTGAGAAAAAAATTAACCATGCTTATATTCCCAGCATCAATCACTAAGTCCCACACCTAAAGCAAGAATCAAACAATGCACACATGTGGCTTGTTGTCTTATCATGCTCAGCCAAGGTGCACATATAAATACATTTGGCCACATTGATATATGCATATACTTGCATATGCATATCTTTTAGTTTATGTATTTTTAACTAGTACAAGGCCACTTGCCCAGCATGTGTGAGACTCCAGTTCCTCCAGCACAGGAAAAAAAAAAAGATGAAGTATAAAGCAAATGAGATAAAAAACACTTTAGAAAGCTAAAGTATTTATTGTCGGTATGTATTTAAAACACAAAAACATGGGGCCAATATAAACATCTCAGAGGAGACTGAAAATATGAGAGCTAGAATCATCTACATGGTTGGTTTGGCTCTGACCAACAGCAACTTTAGAAGAAAGGGTTTAGTCTAGTTTATACATTACAGTCCATCGCCGAGGGTATCCAGGAGAGGCGCTAAAGGCAAGAACCTGGAGGCAGGAACTGAGCAGAAATCACAGAAGACTGTTGCTTGCTGCCTTGCTCCTTCCAGCTCACTCAGCTACATTTCTTATACATCCCAAGCTCACCTGCCTAAGCATGGCGCCACTCACAGTGGCCTGTGCCATCCCGTGTCAATTAGCAATTAAGAAAATGCCTCGCAGACACACAGCCACCAGCCAGTCTGATCTGGGAAATTCTTCGGTTGAAGTTTCCCCTTTCCAGGTGACTCTAGGTTTTTGTCAAGTTGACAGCTGACGCTAACCATGGCAAGCTCCAAAAGATTCCTCATGCCGGCTCTGATGAAGCGACCTTCATAAAAATGTTGCCTTTATACTCCACAAGCAGCTTCCTAGATTCCTATTACCGGGGAGTTAGTTTTCTTTTTCTCAAGCACCTTCTCATTTGTTACAAACATAGGCACGGGTAGCATAAGGCTGTTCTATGAGAACCATTCTTTACTCCTCAGGCGTCCCTCTTAGCTTTGAATTATGCAGATGCATGAATGGCAGACACTTGTGCTAATCCTGCTGAGTACTTTAGAAAGCTCTTCCCAGACCAACTTTCTGTACTTCTTCTTTCAAATACCCATTGATATAAATTCAAATGTGAACAAATGCAAATCTCTCGTTGTGCTTGTACCTGTTTACGTGGGCTGTGCATTTTAGAGAACCCCTAGAAGCCATTTTTTCTCAAAATAACATTTATGATATATGATAGAATCCACGCTCACTGTACAATGCATCCATTTGAAGCATACATACTAGAAGTGGAACAAAAATATCATGGTTTGCAGGTCAGGCTAGACTGCGCAGCATGGTTCTATCTTAAAACAGTTGGGAAATCTGTAATTTCTTAGTATATCACAGATTTATATAGCCATCACCCGAATATAATTTTAGAATATTTCACACTGATTTTTCGGAGTGGCTGCAGCATTTTATGTATTCATTGTTATGTTTGATTGAAAATCAGTCTCTCTTCAGTTTGCTTACTTTTTTTTTTAGAGAGTAAACCTTTAATTACTGCTAAGTGTTGGAATCATGTTACAAGCAAAAACTATTTTGAATATGATACCCGTTTATTTCAAATCATTAGTGGTACTTTCTGGTTTCTGAAAATTATTTATTTATTTACTTATTTAGTATGTGTGCACATGCATGTGCGTGCGTGCGTGCGTGCGTGCGTGCGTGTGTGTGTGTGTGTGTGTGTGTGTGTGAATATGAGCATCTATGAACCACAGGCCACATGTGGACACCAGAAGACCACCTTTCTGGAGCTAGTTCTCCTGCTTCACCTTGTTTGAAGCAGTCTCTTTTACTGTTTCTGTGGCTGCGCAGCAGACTCCAGGCAGGGTATCTGGCCCACAACCTTCAGGCTGACTCTCCTATCCCTACTTCCTATCTGACATTAAGACCACTGGGACTACAGACATGTGTCACCTCATATGACTTTTTGACAGGAGTTCCAGGGATCAAACCCGGGACACCAGGTCATCTGGCTTGCTCAGCAAACACCTTTACCCACTGATGCACCTCCCTGTTTCCTGACGGTTGTTTTTAACACACACCCCCCGCTTTCATTAAGGCTATCTGTCCTAGTGGCTGGGAAATGACAACTTCCTGTGGTTTTGATTTTTTATTTCCTGACTGGGTCACAATATTGAACATCTTTTCCTGTGTTTGCTAGTCGCTTCCATCTGTTCTTTAAAGAACTATCTATTCTGATTACTTTGATCCTTGGCACACCATGAACTAATTTTTTCTTTATATCGTTGGCTTATAAGCATTCTTTGTATATGCTGGATATAGGTTCTTCAGCAGATGGGTAATTTATTTGTAAAAATGTTC